TCCACAGCTACCACCTCCTTAGCCACAACCTCCTCAGGCACTACCTACACAAGAACCACCTCCCCAGTCACGACCTCCACGGGCACAACCTCGACAGGAACCACCTCCACAGCTACCACATCCACAGGCACAACCTCCATAGGCCCAACTTCCACAGGAACTACCACCCTGGCCACCACCTCCCTGGGCACAATCTCCACAGGAACGACCTCCACAGCTACCACCTCCATGGGCACAACCTCCATAGGCACCACTTCCACAGGAACCACCAACCCGGCCACCACCTCCCTGGGCACAACCTCCACAGGAATCACCTCCACAGGAACCACCTCCCCAGTCACCACCTCTACGGGCACAACCTCCACAGCACCACCTCCACGGGCACAACCTCCATAGGCACAACCTCCACAGGAACCACCTCCGCAGCCACCACCTCCATGGGCACAACCTCCCCAGTCACCACCTCCACAGCTACCACCTCCTTGGCCACAACCTCCTCAGGCACTACCTCCACAGGAACCACCTCCATGGGCACAACCTCCATAGGCACAACTTCCACAGGAACCACCACCCCGGCCACCACCTCCCTGGGCACAACCTCCACAGGAATAACCTCCACAGGAACCACCTCCCCAGTCACCACCTCTACGGGCACAACCTCCACAGGAACCACCTCCCCAAACACCACCTTCACGGGCACAACCTCCACAGGAACCACCTCCACAGTCACCACCTCCATGGGCACAACTTCCACAGGAACCACCTCCCCAGTCACCACCTCCATGGGCACAACTTCCACAGGAACCACCTCCCCAGTCACCACCTCCACGGGCAAAACCTCCACAGGAACCACCTCCCCAGTCACCACCACCACAGGCACAACCCCCATAGGCACAACCTCCACAGGAACCACCTCCCCGGTCACCACCTATATGGGCACAACCTCCACAGCAACCACCTCCCCAGTCACCACCTCCACGGGCACAACCTCCACAGGAACGACATCTACAGCTACCACCTCCACGGGCACAACCTTCATAGGCACAACTTCCACAGGAACCACCTCCACGGCCACCACGTCCACGGGGACAACCTCCACAGGAACGAAATCTACAGCTACCACCTCCCTGGCCACCACCTCCACGGGCACAAGGCACAACCTCCACAGGAATCACCTCCCCAGTCTCCACCTCCACGGGCACAACCTCCATAGGCACAACTGCCCCAGGAACCACCTCCCCGGCCACCACCTCCATGGGAACAACCTCCATAGGCACAACCTCCACAGGAACCACCTCCCCAGTCACGACCTCCCCGGGCACAACCTCCACAGGAACCACCGCCCCAGTCACCACCTCCACGGGCAAAACCTCCACAGGAACCACCTCCCCAGTAACCACCTCCACGGGTACAACCCCCATAGGCACAACCTCCACAGGAACCACCTCCCCGGTCACCACCTCTATGGGCACAACCCCCACAGGAACCACCTCCACAGCTACCACCTCCACGGGCACAACCTCCACAGGAACCACGTCCCCAGTCACCACCTCCACGGGCACAACCTCCACAGGAACCACCTCCCCAGTCACCACCTCCACGGGCACAACCTCCACAGGAACCACCTCCCCAGTCACCACTTCCACGGGCAAAACCTCCACAGGAACTACCTCCCCAGTCCCCACCACCACGGGCACAACCCCCATAGGCACAACCTCCACAGGTACCACCTCCCCAGTCACCACCTCCACAGGCACAACCACCACAGGAACGACCTCTACATCTACCACCACCTTAGCCACAACCTCCCCAGTCACCAGCTCCACAGCTACCACCTCCTTAGCCACAACCTCCTCAGGCACTACCTCCACAGGAACCACCTCCCCGGCCACCTCCACAGCTACCACCTCCATGGTCACAACCTCCATAGGCACAACCTCCATAGGAACCAGCTCCCTGGCCACCACCTCCACAGGCACAACCTCCCCAGTCACCACCTCCACAGCTACCACCTCCTTAGCCACAACCTCCTCAGGCAC